CTCACTGCCACAAACAGTCATCCCCAACATCCTGTCGGTCTCCCTCCTCATACTGATTATCTCCTCCAATTGGTGCCCCAGTACTCAGCTGTCACCCAGTAATCACTGTCACTGTTATGGTCATTGGTGAGATGCTGACAGACTGAGAATGTCCAGGGTGACCTCATAAGTCCCTGTCCCCAGGGCTCTTCCTCCCCATTCCCTTCAGCTGGTGACCTTAGCCCTGACTGCTCGTCCCCACCCCTCCAGGTAAAATGCAGACCAGTGACTGACAATGACTGCTTATCCCTAAGAACATTCCCTCTGCTTCCTGGCAACCACCCTTGCCAACCACTCCCTAAATGGGCCAGACCAGGTCTGGCCCCTCTGGTAAAGCCCACACCTGTCACACTTGACATGATGACAGCATCCCACACCTGTCAGTGTCCTCAGGGTGTATGTGACACGGCTAGGCTGTGCTGTCATATCACACACCTGTCACACAGGGTGCCCCAGATATACGCAGTGTCACCACCACACACTGGTCACATCTGATACCTGAAATTTTGATTCTGGGCTGTGGAGCTGTGTGCTAGCAAAACACTTACACAAGTTTGTCATGTAAAAACAAATATGAATTAAAAATATGAGGCTAATTCTCTCTGTTGAAAATGGGGGAAAGCTTCCCTCCCTCCTTTCCCTTTCTCATTCACCTTAGAAAACTTGTAAGTGCTTTGCTTTTCTTTAAAATGTATCCCTTTGAAGGCTAGGTCTTCTCTTTTTTTTCTTTTCAGCTTTATGAGGGGGAATGTCTTTCTCAAGAACCTGGGAGCCATCTCTTTAAAATAAAAACATCTTGAGAGCCATCTTTTTGAAATGCAAACATCGAGGGAGAGCGCTCCCCTATCTCTTGGTCCTGGGCAGGACCTCTTCTTTGCTCCCATTTATAAAACAACCTCCCATCATTAAGATATGAGATGTTTGTCTTTCCTCTGGATAAAGCCAATTAGTTACCACAGATAGTCAACCCAGTCACCAGGTCAAATTAGGAAGAACCATGTGGGACAAATTCTGACAGTTACTGTCAAGTTCTCTTACCTGACCATTGTTTTTCTTCAGGGCCAATTCCTTACTTTTAGACTAGACCTACTTTTCATGCTTTTAAGATAAGGAATGAGATGGAAGTTTCAGAAACAAAGAACGCACCTGTCAAAGAATTATTCTGCTGCTTCTTTACCCAAACCATATTTAAAACTATTCAAATCTCACCCATGTAGTTTCAGTCCTGGGCAGCCATGGGAGTGTGCTGCTTGGTTTTCCCCTCACGAGGGAGCCGGCTGTGAGGAGTGTAGCTGGCCAACAGCCCCCAGCTATGCTGCCTTGGGATCCACTGCAGAGTTCCAGAAACCACACTCTGGGCAGGCTGCTCTCAGCCAGTGCCTGAGTGTGGCTCGGGAAACGGAGCTGGGCCACTAGTTATTGTTTTATCTTCAACACACGTATGTCATGGGTTGTATCTGCTTAGCCAAATAAAAGGGAGTTTTTTTCTGCCTTTGCAATTTCTTAGCACATGGCCTGTGATGCACATAGAATTCTGGCTAAATGCTTACTCAATAAGTGTTTTCTGTCACTACTACCTTTGAGTAGAGGATTTCTGGGTTCAGAAATTTTATTTTTATTTCCCAACAGTCACCATCACACACCTGTCTGCCAGGACCAAACCTCCTTACCCATCTCATCCACATCTAGTGCACAGGATTACAGGGGAGGAGTGATGAGTTAAACAGTATCAGAGACTTGTAGAGCAGCAGAATTTGCTACCCCCAAAATGTGTCTCGTTCACTTGATTATTTTTAAGAACAAATGACTCAGGAAGAAAATTTGACCTCCCCCCTAACTGCCTAAAAGAATTTAAGATAGAAGACTGGTTCCAGGAATGAGCTATCATCACCATAGATACCTGTGGTAGAGTATGAACTAGGTGTGGTGAACAAGGAGGAACCTAGCAAGACCCATTTGATCAAAGTCCTCTCCATGTCTCACTGTCTCTGCAAGGCATGGCAAACATCTGTTTATCAAACATTTGCTTCTCCATCTCCATGTGAATTTCCTTCCTCCCTTCTGAAGTCCCAAACGACTACCCCCAATATCCTCCTTCATCTTTAACTGAAGATGGTATTTAAGGTGGTGGCTTTGGCCATTTTGGTCAGTTACTCAGTTTTCCTGTGTTTCTCTCGTGTGTATGTGTTATTAAACTTGTTTGATTTTCTCTTGTTATTCTGTCTCATGTCAATTTAATTCTTAAACCAGCCAGAAGAACCTAGAAGAGTAGAGGAATATTTCTTCCTCCCCTACAGACTCAACAAGTCACATCTAGAATACACCAAATTCTGAGGAACAAATGACTCAACAAATTCAACAAATAATAAGAATAAAAATAGCAACTGGGACCTACAGGTTAAGAGACTTATGAGACACAGCTACTGAAAGCCATAATACATTTTGGATCCTGATTGCAATTAATCTGTCTTAAACAAACACATTTTTGAAACAATTGAGAAAAACTGAGCATTGAAGTTCTGAATAATTCTTTGTTCTTTCATTATCTTATTTGTTAATGAAAAGGGAAATAGTCAAAATTCATTTTAACAAACAGGCAAAAAGTATGAACAGACATTTACCAAAGAAGACATACAGGTGTCAAATAAACAAATGAAAAAATACTCAACATCATGAAACATTGGAGAAATGCAACTAAAACTACAGCGAGATACTGCTAAACATTTATTAAAAGAAGGATCAAAGTTTACAGAGACTAACCATACCCACTACTGGCAAGGATATGGAAGAACTGGAACTCTCATACTGCTGGTAGGAAGACAAAAGGGAACACCCAGTTCAGATCATAGTTTGGAGTTCCTTAAAAAATTTTATATTCACTAACCCTGTAACTCAGGCATTGCACCCCAAAATATTAACACAAGAAAAATGAAACATCCATATGAAAAACTATATTCAAATAACTGTAGCAGTTTTATTTGCAAGAGTCAAAAACTGGAAACAACTCAAATATGCATAAAGATGAAAGAATAAACAAATAGTGGTATATCCACTGAACATCATACTTCTCAGCAATATAAGAATGAGCTACTCATATAAGCATTGTTGACAAATCTCAAACATGCTGTGTGAGGGCTCCCAGGGGGAAAAAAAGAGTAAACACTTTAGGATTTCAATGATATAAAATTCTAGACAATGCAAACTAATCTCTTGTAAAGAAAAGTAAACCAATGGTTGACTGGGGAGCAGAGAGTGACATCATTAAAGGACATAAGGTAAATATGGGGGTGATAGGCTTATTATCATGAATGTGATGATGGTTTCATAAATGTCAAAACAAACTAAGTTTTAAATATGTGCATTTTATTGCATGTCATTTATACTTTATTAAAGCTTAAAAAATATGATTCAAAATAGACATCTGAATTTGCTACTTGGAAGATTCCCTATAGTGACACCACCATCTCTCTCAAAGTGCCCTGGGATGGGCACTTTGCTTCAGTGGTCAAAAATGTAAGTGAGCAATGAAGGCTATTTCCAGGTGATTCAAGAGGAATGCTGGCCTGGGGCACAAAGTCCACATCACTTGATGAAGAGATCTCCCTTCTATCTTCATTTTTCTGTTTGCACAGAAGTGGCCTTGAAGACAGCCCAGAGAGGCTACAGGAATCCACAAAACCTTTAGATTATTTTCTCTCACAATGTCCTCTGCTATACGAGATTCACAGTTCAGGAGATCTGAGCTTTTCTGTACATGCTCATCCTTCACAGCCACAGTGACTAACACTTGATGCCCCTTAAAAGAGGCGGATTTCATCCTGTCTGTTACAGTCTCTTCCTCCCACTATTAATCCAATGTTTCTGTAACAATTATAATTTTCCTTGTAATCTTAAAACCAGTGATGCTATCCTACAGAATTTTGCACCTCAAGGCACATTTGCAGGACGTGGGAGAAGATTTCCCTCAGTACTGAGCACGACGCAATATCCCCTGTGAACAAGACAAGTTCATGTTGTTCTCAGAAGCACCACAGGCTGTCACAACAACCAACAACTACCCCCTCCTCAGGTTGACTTCTGAACCCAGAAAATATCATGGCATTCAGGCTACAAATTAGGAGCATAAAGTCCTGTAGTCTTTCCTTGGAGGCCTTGGGCAACAACACAAATGAGGCCAAAACTGGAGAGAGAGGTATATCCTGCCATCATACTGTCCCCTCTGAGACACACCAAGTTTGGGATCCCAACCAAAGCTGTTCTCTCCTTTCTGTTAGCAGAACCCAGTTGTTTTCAAACCACCACACACAATAAATAGAACTCTCAAAATTAAAGATGATGGCTTAAATAATAAGGCCTTCATTTTTGCACAAAGCAGAGCAATGGGAGGCAGGCTGCTCCTGGGCTGGAGAGTTGAAGGGCAGGAAATTCCATCAGAGTCACGTGAGACTAATAATATCCCTGAAAAAGGCAATCCATGTTTTCAAGTCACCAGCAGAGTCCTCTGGGTCAAAAATGGGTCTGGTCCATGGCCTACCTCATCAAGAGAAAGAGAGGAAAAAGGAAAAGAGTGCTCAGGTTTCTCACCAATCCCTCCTGTGAATGGGAGAACATAGAGGTTTCCTTCCCTGAACATGTTGAGGTAGTCAATGATGCACACTGTGGGCACCTGCCAGCTAGTAGAGGTGAAATAGCTTCTCCTACAAAACTGGCAGTGACATAAATCTGAGAAGGGCCCTGGGCAGGTTATAAAATGTGCAATGCAGCTCCCACATACCTGGAATTTTTGCAGATGTTTGGATGTATGAGGTTCAATTCAGGCAGACAGCACCATCACGAGGGATCTCAAGTGCTGATATACTGAACAAAGAAATTGTATATCCCTGCACATGTAAGTTGTTTTTTTCCCATGTGAAATTTGTGTTATGCAGAGTAAAGGCCTTAGGCTGATGGCTTTCTCACATTCATTGCATTCCTAAGGCCTTGATCCACTGTGAACTCTCCTTATTAAGGCTGAAGTTTTGAGTAAGGGATTTCCCACATTGACTGCACTCATAAGGCCTTGATCCAATGTAAACAGTCTGGTGTTTGTAAGAGGCTGGAGCTGTAGGTAAAGAATTGCATACATTCCCAAAGTTATAAGGCCTTTTTCAAGTGTGAATTTTCTGATGTGTGATGAGGGTAGAGCTTTGGCTAAATGATTTCCCACATTCCCCACACTCATAAGGCCTTTCTCCAGTGTGAACTCTCCGATGTGTAATGAGATTGGAGATATATCCAAATGATTTCCCACATTCACTGCACTCATAAGGCCTTTCTCCCGTGTGAACTCTCTGATGTTGAAGGAGTGCAGAGCGTTGGCGAAAAGATTTCCTACATTCACTGCACTCATAAGGACTTTCTCCAGCGTGAACCCTCTGATGTTGAAGGAACACAGAGTTTTGGGAAAATGATTTCCCACATTCACTACATTCATAAGGCCTTTTTCCAGTGTGAACACTCTGATGGCGACTGAGGCTGTAGCTTTTGCTAAAAGATTTCCCACATTCATTACACTCATAAGACTTTTCTCCAGTGTGAACTCTCCAATGTTGAATGAGATGTGAGCTTTGGATAAAGGATTTCCCACATTCACTGCACTCATAAGGCCTTTCTCCAGTGTGAACTCTCCGATGTTGAATGAGATTTGAGCTTTGGCTAAAAGATTTCCCACATTCACTGCACTCAAAAGGCCTTTCTCCAGTGTGAACATTCTGATGTCTAATCAGGTGGGAGCTTTTGCTAAATGATTTTCCACATTCACTGCACATGTAACGTCTTTCTCTAGTGAGGACTCTCTGGTGCTGAACAAGTGTGCGTTTGTGGTTGAAAGTTTTTGTGCAGTCTCCCCAGTTATAATGATTTTTTTCCCTTAGAAAGGCAGCCCCATACTTGGTTCCACTGTTTGATTTCTCCCCAGTGTGAGTGGCCTGTTGGTGAAGAAATCCTGGGCTGTCCAGGAAGTCCTTCCCAACTTCCCCAAAGGTAAAGGGCTTCCTTGACATACAGATTTTGCAGCTGTCCACAAACAAGGCTCTCCTCACATCGCTTCTCAATGGGTTCTCTCCAATGTGCTGCTTTTGGTGCCGATGAAGGTTTACTCTGTAATAGAATGGCTTCTCACATGCCCCACACATGTATAGTTTCTGCCCACAATGTGTTCCCTGGTACTCAGACAAGTGAAAAATGTCACTCAAGATCAAGCCACACATCTCACAGGGGTTGGCCTTCTGGGGAGACAGATCTGTCTTGACAGTCCTGATCTGTGACCCTCCTTGAACAGAAATACTCTGCTCAGAAAGTGTCTCTTCATCCTCTGCTCCATGCCAACAACCTGAAAGCAGAGAAATGCTGGTGAAGTGCATGCTGACTTTGTGCGAGGATGTGCGAGGAGACAGCCCCATTACAAATGTGTGTCTGACAAACCCAAGAATCAGTTCATGGGATTGTTTGCAGGATAAGCTGGTTGGGTTCAGGTTAAGGATGGGGCTGTTTAAAAGAACTGGGCCTCTAAAGATCACAGAATGAGGGAGGCTTCACAAGGTGAAGAACACAACCACAGGGTGTGACACAAGGAGCAGAGGCAGGGTCTCTCATTCCTCATTCTTCTGCAAACAACTTTCAGCAGGACTTTGTCCACTGATGACACACAAGTGCTATGTAGAAGGTTGTGTCCAGGCCCAGGAAAATCCAAATGCAACAGAGCAGGTGGTGATCAAGGATTAAGAATGTACACACCCCAGGACACAAAATGCAGAGGCCAACATTGGACAACCCCATAGATGGACCAGTGTGAAAAAGCGTTGAAACGTGGAGTCCACAGAGGTGAGTGAGGATTATCCCTGAGCTGGAAATAAGAGCAGAAGTGACAAGTAGTAGAGTTGACAACGTGGCTAAGTGTGAAGAATGGGGAAGGAGAGGCAGAAATGAGGTGTGGCTGCCACTGTGATTGGCACCAAAAGACAAGTGAATAGAACTGGTTTCTGGTATGACTTGTACACAGCCCTGATGTCACGTCCTCCCCTAGGCACCACTTCTCAGGGCCAGACTATGCTTGAGGTCATCTTGCTGCAGTTGGATTCCTTTCTATCCTGTGAACCTCTCCACCCCACCCCCTTGATGAGCAACTACATGGAACCCAGATGATGCAAGTACTAAGGGAAAGACAGGACAGACTAGCAGCCAGCACTGGCCAAAAATAACTCAGCACATGAGAGACCACAGGAAAGAAAACTAAATATTACAAAGAGAACTTTAGAGGAGTGTCTTGCAAGAATAGCCCATGGTCCACATAAGTAGTAACTGTGTCACTGATGGCAATTTCTGGCACAAACAGGAATGAGGAAATGTCAGCTAGAGGAAGGAAATAGAACCTGGGGTACACACGTGCCTTGGTTCTGGAAAATTCACCTGGTTAGGGAGAGGGCAAATAAGGTGGGATCCGTCACTGCAAGATTCCTGACTCTGGATTCATCCCTTCGAGGCTAGATGTTGCAGGGGTCAGAGATGCTCAAGGAGAAGAGAGGACACTACTCACACCTCAGCCCAACCAACCACAGCACTTACCCAAGGAACTGGGGAAGGAAGCAGTGCCCATGGTCCTGATATGAGAAGGGCAGACTTGCCAGTGGATAAAGGGGAAAGGCAGAGCCTAGCTCAGGGCACAGGGGTGGGTGTAAGGGCCTTACCCAGGAAGGTTATAAGTGCCAAGTTCTCCAGCATCACATCTCGGTACAGGCGTCTCTGAGCCTCATCAAGGAGACCCCATTCCTCCCAGGAAAAGTACACAGCCACATCTTCAAAGGTCACACCAACCTGTCATGATTGGGACAGATGAAACCACAAACTTCCCCACTCCTGAGGCCCTACAATCCATTCCCCCATATATCTATCCTATGACCATCTTCCTCCCAGTCTCCCCAACTCAGAGGAGTAAGTAGGCCCTGGTGCCATTGCTGCTGTTGTCTCCTTATGGGCGCACTGAATACTGTGTCCAGACATCAGCAACAAGAGGCAGCTGGACAAATAGATGTCTAAACTGTGGGCCTGGCACAGAGGTTTCCAACCCCTCATGCCAGACAGTTCCCCTTACAAGGTCATGTAAGTCCCAATACAGGGCCCCGCGGCTATCAGATATGCTCCATCTCCATGTACACATCACTCTTTAGACTGCACATCTCTCATATTTCCAGACACCACAGCCACATGCCCATGGCCACCGCCACCTCACTGTCTCACTCCATAAGCATCTCCCTGGTGTCCCAACATGTTAAAGAATTTTGATCACCTCCTTTTCACTTTCACTCCTCTGATGAGGGTGGGATTCCTGCCTAGGATTATGGGGATGGCCAAACACACAACTGATATTGGACAGATGTGGTCAGCAGCATCTCATTAATCAGATATATTCACACCCAAGGATAAGAGGACACCACACAGGGCTACAGGGGGTTACACTCTGGACAACAGTGGACAACCAGGAGCTGTGGGATGCAAGCTTTGTAGTGTCAAGAGGGTAGAGTGCACTCTGGTTCCCACGGGAGGATGTAATTTCCTTTTCTGAATAAATCCAAAGGGCTGACAGGGAACTGAAACCCACTACAAAGGGATAAGGAGGAACTGTACCTGGTCCCCTTTATAACAGTTGTTTGGTTAGGAGACATTATCTGCAGGAGCAGAGTGAGGTGGGGAACTTGTGCTCAGGCCATTTGAGAGCCTCCTGGTTTCAACACATGTCAAGGCAGCATATAATACTGGGACTTAATTTTACGCCTTACATGACATACGAACAGAGAGCATCCAGAGTATGCTTGGTAAATTCATACGGGATCCAATACTACCGTGAACCTCCCATGGCTGCCATTAGTGGTGGCAGTGCCAAAACCTTCTAGGAAGACTTCCCTCCTGGCTCCATTCCTTGCCTCAAACTTAGCCACACAGAACCATATGTGGATCTCTGATTCCCATGGCCCTCTTGCACTTCTGTGCTGCAGTTGTTGTCCTCGCAGCAGTCATAACCTTCCTCTGTCCGCCTAACCCTCATTCAAAGCCCAGCCCATTGGTGGCCCATCCCAGGCATACTGATGCTCACAGATGACAATATTTGCCCATGATCTTATCCTCCAGGCTGAAGGAAACATGCCAGAACACATCAAAGTCATCAAAAAATCCTAGAGAGTCCATAGAGAGGTGAATAAGGACCAGCTCCAGCCTGAGTATCATCTTGCTTCAGTGATCTCTAGGCATCCGCATCCACCTCATGTCCATTTTTCCCTTGGAAGCCTTGGTCACCTGACAGACTATCCTGTCCCCAACACATCCTCCCTTCAAGGCCACTTACCTTCCTCACTTGTGTTTGTGAAGCCCAATACTATCACCTAGTTACCCAAGAAAGAGATCCAGTTCACAGCCCCCACCCTCCTTTTCCTGGCCCCCTACTAGCTTTACACCATAACCTGAAGATTGCCCCTCCTAAATGTCACCACAACTTATTCATCAGGGTCCACACAGTAGCCAACATATTTTGGATGTCTCCAAGCTGAACCCCTCCCCACATTTCCAGACCTATGTGTTCAGCTGCCCCCTCATGCCTCCACTCAGTGATCTCTGAAACACCTGAGACTCTTAACAGGGCCAAAACAAAGCTCCTGATACCATCCCCCGCCCCAGCAGTGAATATTACTCCTACTACAGTCTTTCTCATTCCAGATGATGGAGCTTCCATCTCTATAGCTGCTAAGTCTGAAAACCCTGGGGCGATCTCTGAATCCTGTGTTTCAGTCCCTCACTATCCACGTTAGAAAATCTTGTTGCTCTTTTTAAAAATACCATCCAGAATCCAAGGACTTTTCCTAAGCCACCACTCTGGTCCATTAACCCTCACCTGGACTATGGCAGGAGCCTCTTTCCTGATCTTCCCTTCCTTCTCCCTCAACCCCAGTCTGTTCTCCACTCTACAGCCAGATGAAGCCTGTTAAGACCTTGGTAAGATCACCTCCCTCCTCTGATCCAAACACCTCATCACCCCTAGAACAGACATCAACCTTTTCAGGCAACCATTCCAATCCTGACTCCTATCCTTTGCTTTTTGTTCTCATCTAAAAGAAAGGAGACTTGAGGTCTCTCGAACACTCACAGGTCAGTTTTACCTCCAAGCATTTGGAACTCTGAGAACTAGTTCCTGGAAGAACCCTCCGCACCTGTTTATATTGGTTGCCAGTAATGGGAACACCTGTATCTAAAGCATGAGAAGGCCTTACCCCGGGGACTTGAGGTTTCTCCAGAGTCCCCAGACTCAAGGACTGGAGGAGTAGCATTAAGAGTCTCAGGAGAGGCCGGCCTGGTGGCATAGTGGTTAAGTTCCCACACTCTGCTTCCGTGTCCCAGGGTTTGCAGTTAGGATCCCAGGCACGGACCTAAACAGAGCTCATCAAGCCATGCTGTGGTGGCGTCCTATATACAAAATAGAGAAAGACTGGCACAGATATTAGCTCAAGGACAATCTTCCTCAAACAAAAAGAGGAACACTGGCAATAGATGTTACCTCAAGCCAATCTTCCTCACACACACACACACAAAAGAGTGCCGGGGAACCACAATCCATAGAACACCAAAGTGGCCGTCTGGATAGGTGAGGCACCGGAACACCCTCCACTTCCCTGTGTGGGTTCCTAAGCACTACTCCACCCAGGAAAACTAGCGCGAAGAGGCACGCCTTGGAGGAATGAGGCCATGGTGGGGTTCAACGGCTCATGCCTCCCTGTACCCTTCCTTGGTCCTGGAGCCCCGTGACCTCAGGCCGGCTGTCTAACCTCTGGGCCTCAGTGCTCCATGTCACCTCTTAACAGGTGTGTGACCCTGAATAAAGATTCCACGTCCCAGCGCCTCAATATCAACACCATCCGTCTGCACTCTACCCTTCCGTTGAACAGGCTTCGGCAAAGTGTTAAAACCCTAACGGAGATCGTATCTCTTTCTGCTCAAAACTCTCCATGGCTTTTAGAGTCCTCACAATGAGGTACAACCCTCAGCCTGCTATTCCAGGTTTAACTGGGCCTCACACTCTGTTCACTGCAGACAGAACACGGACCTCAGGGCCCCGGCTCAGTCGCCCTCCACGCCTCTCCCCCGCGGGCCCTCCCCTGGGACCCTCTCCCACTCCCGTAACCCGGGTCTCAGAAACAGGCCCCACGAGCGCCTCCCCGTCCCGGACACCGGGGCCTGGGCTGCAGGCCCGTGAGCGGCGCCCGCACTCGGGGCTCTAGGGCTGGGCTGGGCTGAGGACGGGGAGGGCGCGGAGCACGAGCACTGACCTGAGCCGGCTCCGTCCGCGCGGCCGCAGCCATCGGACTCCAGGGCGGAGCGGGGCCGGAAGCGGCGGGAGAGGAGGGGCTCCGGGCACGGCGGTCCCTGTCCCGGCCCTGGCGCGGGTCCCCCGGGCGGCGTCGCCGAGCCTCACACCCGCTCTGTGCAGCGGGCACAGCGCCTCCTCTCGCGCCTTCTCGGTTCGTCACCTCAGCCCCGACCCAGCGCTCCGGGGCCTGACGGACACCCACCAGAGAGCGGCCAAAATGACCGCCTGGAGGAGGAGGCCGGAAGTCCCGCCCGACCACTGTTCTCAAACGGAAATGCCTTTTCTCTGAGCCTTCATTGGCTCAGCCACACCGGCTGTCGTCGCAGAGCATTCTGGGTAATGTAGTGCCCACAGTCCAAGGCAGCGATAGGGGCGTTCATCACCTGACTCCAGGAGAAAAGGCCAAGATCCACCGCGAGGGTCATTGGGAAATGGCGCTTCTCTGTCCGAGACCGTTTGGAAAATGATAAAGAAAGCGAAGGTGTCGAGCATTTTCCTCCCTTTGATGTACAGACTGCACTTCAGGATAAACAAATAGAAAATTAGGAAAATATTTCTTTATAGATCATTTCTAGGTAATAAATGCAGAAGCCCTGATAAAATTAGGTAGAATACAGACACGTCTCAATGGCCCATAAAATAATGGATTTAACCAATGGTCATCAACCAATTACTTCAACCAAATAATTTCAATGCAGGTGGCACAATAGATAAATGTACAGTGGGGGAAAAAAACGATATTGGACGTCAAAACCTATTAACAGTTGGACCCACTGTGCAAAGTTAACATCACAAAACGGAGACACTCAGACTTCTGAGAGCATCTGTCCGTGATGCAAACACAAGTGTCCCCCGTGCCTGTGGAGCACTGTGGCCAGAGTCAATCTGGATTTCATCAATGCCTCTGGCTCTAATTATACATTTATTGGAAGCAATGGGGAACACGTTAAGAACATCCAAGACATGAAGATACATTAGAGAAGGTGGGAAATTATACCAGACAAATGACCTAGCTACACCATCAAATACATGACAAATATAACACAAGAATGTAGGACAAACCTTTGACATAGAACTAAAATACAAAATATAAACATAAAATAGGAGTATATTTATTATTTAAACATATCGATTATGAAAAATAAATTTTTGAAAAAGCAGGAAAATTGAATTCTGAATCTAAGTTATTGGTATTTTTGTTAGTGTGAAAATGATATTGTAATTATCATAATGAAAGAGAACTTGTACTTTACAGACATATTTGAAAGATTTATAGGTGAGATGATATTGATGTGGTTGAAACCTTGCTTATGACTCGTTTTACAATGTTTCCACTCCGTATCGCATGCCCCTACTTAATCACCTCTGGCTAGGAGCAAAGGAGTTTACCTTAGGAGGTAATCAATGACTTGAATCCCCTGCCTACGGGTTCCTTGAGGCATACCGTACCTTGGAATGCAAGGGCACATGTCATTTATCCGCCCTCATGCCCTAATCTTTGAGACAAACCAGAACCCATCAACTCGCTTGACCACGTCACCTAATACTTTTTCCTTTGCCATTTCTTTAGAGTAATAAAAATAGCTAAAACCACAGACAATGGCCGGGCACAGACACTTGCACGGCAGCTCTTTACTGCACATGGGTTCTGTCCCCATGCTGAACACAAAATAAAAGTCCACAAAGGAACGAGCGGCACGTGTCTGAAAATTCTTTATCAACTCAAGACTCAGTGGCCCCACATCAATATGTCTGGCATTTTCAGTGCTATAAGATAAGGAACATACTTATGAATTACATTCAGAGTAAATGAAGAAGTACATATTTATCCTGAAAGTGAAACCAAGAACGAAGGAGTTAAAACTTTCCCTGGATTAGAGTGAAATCAGTGCCTGTACCCAGAAGGTTGACTGGAGAAACAAAGTAACCAAAGTTTCTGAGCTTGTTTTGCAGAAGAGCAGGAAGACTGCTAATAAGAAAGCAGCTTGCTGACAGCCTCCGCCCCGCAAACATCGCCTAGGTGCACTGAAAAGCTAAAATGACCAATCATAAACTTTACAAGTCACAGACTAAAAATCCACCGCATGCAACACATAGAACCACCCCCAACCCCAAGTCGCACATGGGACCCGTGGAGGAATATGAAAGACAGTTGCGCCTGCGCAGAGAACTCTTAAAACTTCAGCCCCCAAGGCCACATGCTTCCCTCCCCTACCTAAAACCCCAAATAAAAACCCTTGCTTGTAGCTTTTGCAGGAGTTGGGATTACAGTTTAGTTTCCTGTTCTCCTTGCTCAGCGCTTTGCAGTAAAATTCCTGCTTTCTTCCACTACACCCGGTGTCAGAGATTGGCTTGCTGCAGGACGGGTGAGCGAACCCACTTCTGATCCAGTAACAAAAATTAAGATGTATAGCTGAGGATCTTTGAAAAATCAAATGAAATATTATAATTAACGAGAAATTATGGGTATGCATACATGCAATAAAGATTAAAAATCAATAGTAATCCTGTAAGAAGCTTTCTCCTATTTAAAAATTTAAAGCAAATCTTACTGAAATATAAACAAAAATTTGAAAAACATCGAAACTAAGAAATGTAAGAGAAGAGTTGAAAAAAATCTAAAAACTTACCCGAAATTATAAAAATCACTTCTAAATAAAAACAGATATAAAGCAAGTTTCTACATAGAAAGACTAAATATAAATAAAAATAACTACAAAAAGGTAATTTATTTATTTCAAACAAAATGTTAATGTTTCAGAGCTTATTATTTAAAATTTATTTAAAAGGATAATAAAAGTAAGTTTATTGAGAACTTATTCTGGTAGAGAAAACTGTTATTGGGTGACTAGTACACAGTAGAGGGCCTGGAAACACACCCTCCTGACATGCACCTACTGAACACGTGTATAGGAGCATATATATATGAAACTTGATCATCAGTTGGAAGAGAAATAAATAATGCAATAAAATATTAAAATAGTTGCAAATTGAGATGGAAAAAAATCTCAATTTATACCACTTGTCAAATGGAAAAATAATCAAGCCTACACATGAAAACAAGTATCCTAGATTATTTTTTTACAAAGAGGTTTATTTTCTTTTTTAATAAATTGGGGTGTGCAGGTCACTACAAAGCAAGGCCCAAGTTTAAAGCCACAAAATATATTTTTAATAGATTTTTGTAAATAAAAATATAAGTAAAATACAATAAAAATGACAACCAATTTAAATAATCAAGAAAATGACTTAAAATGTAAAACATAAAAAATAATTATCTATAATATTTTTGGTATCCATACAAGTCAAATTGAGATAAGCCATAAAATATTGGGCAAAATTCTAAATCAGGCAATTTTTGAGAAAACTATTCAATCTATGGGTTATATATTTCACTATTCAATACATTAACTTGCCAAAATTTCATTTTGATTTTAAAATTTACCATCAACCATTCAGAGTTATTTAAAGTGGATCAAGAATTTTAAAATATATCATATCATATTTAACCTCTTTTTTGTGCATGTGTATCCATTACCCTCTTATCATGGAAATAGACAATGTTAGTACTTTTGTCTTTTGACCTTCATATTAAATTCATAGGTAGTTGATCTGCTACCTTTACTGTATATTTGCCTTTACCAGTGATTTTATTGTTTTTTTTTTTTTTTCTGATAACACTCTTATTCCTGTTTGTGGTCTTTTCCACTTTAAGTCCCTTTAGCATTTCTTGTAAGGCTGGTTTCTTGGTGATAAACTCCTTTAGCTTTTGCTTGTCTGGAAAATTCTTTCTCTTTCCTTCCTTTGTGAATGATAACCTTGTTGGGTAGAGTATTCGTGCCTGTAGATTTTTTTCCTTTTAGCATTTTAAATACATTGTGCCACTCTCTTCTAGCCTGTTAAGATTTCTGCTGAGAAGTCAGCTGATAGCCTCCTGGGGTTTCCTTTGTATGTAGTTTGTTGCCTTTCTCTTGCAGCTTTTAGGATTCTCTCTTTAACTCTTGACATTTTAATTATGATGTGTCTTGGTGTGGGCCTCTTTGGGTTTATCTTGCTCTCTGTGCTTCCTCTACCTAGATGTCTGTTTCCTTCCTTAGGTTAGGAAAGTTTTTAGCTATTATTTCTTCAAATAGATTCTCTGTCCCTTTGTCTTTCTCTTTCCCTTCTAGGGCACATATAATACAGATGTTAGTGCACTTGATGTTGTCCCAGAGGTCCCTTAGACTGTCCTCATTCTTTTCTCATTTTTATTTATTTTTTGTGAGGAAGATCAGCCCTGAGCTAACATCTGCCAATCCTCCTCTTTTTGCTGAGGAAGACTGGCCCTGGGCTAACATGCGTGCCCATGTTCCTCCACTTTATGTGGGACACCGCCACAGCATGGCCTGACAAGCGGTGCGTGGCTGTGCGCCCGGGATCCGAACCCCGGCTGCCAGCAGCGGAACATGCGCACTTGACCACTATGCCATGGGGCCGGCCCCCTCATTCTTTTTTCTTTTATCTGTTCAGCTTGGGTGATTTCCTCTAGTCTTTCGTCCAGCTCACTGATCCGTTCTTCTGTATTGTTTGCTCTGCTATTGAGTCCCTCTAGTAAATTTATCATTTCCATTATCATATTCTTCATTTCTGATTGGTTCTTTTTTATATTTTGCAGTTCTTTGTTGAAGTTCTCACTGAGATCATCCATTCTTCTCCCAAGATCAGTGAGCATCCTTCTGACTATTAGTTTGTACTCTTTATCAGGTAGAGTGTTTATATCTGTTTCATTTAGTTCTTTTTCTGAGGATTTGTCCTGTTCCTTTATTTGGAACATATTTTTTTGTCCCCTCATTTTGCCTCTTTCTCTGTGCTTGTATCCACGTATTAGGTAGATCAGCTACGTCTCCTGATCTTGGAGAGGTGGCCTTATGTAAGAGATGACTTATGAGGCCCGGCAGTGTGCTTCCCTTTCATCACCAGTTCCAAATGTTCCAGGAGTGTCCCCTATGTGGGCTACATGTGTCCTTCTGTTGTGGCAGGGTTGCTCTTACTGCAGGTGCATGGGGAGGCTAGGCTGTCCCTCTGGCCGGTTGGTTGTAATGCTCAGCTGTGTGCAGCTACTGTGGTCCCTTGAATCACTTTATCTGGCATGGGGAGCCCCAGCACAGTTGGCTACAAGGTCTAATAGCATATTCTTATTGCATTTTATGTGTTAAGTTGAGTAGGCCCCCAGCATGGCTGGTTGCTAGGCTCAGGGACTTACAATTGCTGTAGCCCTCCAGCCTGCAAAGCTGTTGTCAGCCATCTCAGGAGTGCAGCTGGGTGGGGCTGGCCCCAGGCATGCACAGTTGTTTCAGGCCTTGGAAGGTGGAGCCAATCCCCTATGTGGCTGTTTGAGAAGCACAAGTCTGCTGCAGTTGATAAGCCCCACCATCTGTAGGCCAAC